GGCCACGGCCGCCGCAGAGTGGGGCTAAGGAAATTAATATTTCAACGTAGAAACCCCGTTCTTCCTCTTCTTCTTCTTCAAAGATAGTGCAGTCACGGGGCGGAAACAATTCCGGTGGAAGGAGTGCGCAGTGTCCGATTGCGTTCCCCTCTGTGCTCATCGCCTCCAAAATCACCCGGCGGAAGTTCGTCGGAAGACAGAGAAGACAAATAGGGAAGTTCCTATTTTTTAAGAAGGTGATTGTTATAGCGTCCCGACATTAATTTTCTACTACTTTCGGAAACAACATGCGAATGAACTACAGGACACAAGCCTCAGGATAGGACAGAGTTGTTGTCGGTATTATGACCACACGCTTAACACGAAAGATACCCTTCCTTTAAGTATAACACTTAAAAAGGGCGTAATTTGATACCAAACCAGTAGAAGAAAGAATATTTTTGCGCGTGTTTTCTATAAAATATATCAGAATATAAACAGGCGGTCAAAATTAACGATAAAAATGTATGCTATCTAAGAAGCCACTTTTTTTCAGAATCTACATTCTATAGGCGGTCAGAAAGAAGCTCTTTACAGAGCCGGCGTCTTGGCGGGACTGAGAAGACTTGAGATTAGACTGCATGATAATCAGTATTTCAACCTCACTTAATGTTGATTTGCGAGTGAGTACCAGTCTTTTGCAAATTGCGGCATTTTGCTTGTAGCACTCACCATACTATATATCCATGGTTAGCGGCAGTTTGGTGGCTATAATTGAGTCGGGTAACTGCGACTGACGACGGGTAATGACCCAGAAATACGCGTATCTCGCAGTCCTAACGTTTGCCGACAATACATTGGTTACTTAAAGTTAGCGAGTAACATTATTGTTTCGCCCTTGCGAAAAGGTGGAAGTGTCCACGCCTCGCCAGACGAAACAAGCCAGGGTTAGTGAATCCTGGACCAGATCTGAGTACACCTATGTACTAATCCATGGTTATATTCCCGATCTAAATCGGCAAGGCAACGGGTCCGCGGCGCAGCAGCGGTTAAAGCGTTGAACTTCTGATCGACGGGTTCGAGCTTCCGATGGTGTACTACCCGGGGCTGGGCATGGCTGGCTGATGACGGCTAATGAGCCAGAAATTGTCATTCAGATCGCCGTTGTCTATGACGGTAATGCCATTCAGCGCCAACTAATCTCTGTTCAATGAAGCGCCTTTGACTCCTCTAGTGGCCCCCGGTGGTTTAATGATCAAACCGCTGCGCCACGGACTCGTTGCCTGGCAGGTTTAGATCGGGAATATTACTGAGCGCTCACCTATGTCGTTATGCGCTGGGCGGCTACTGATGGGGCACGACGGGACCAAGGACTCCCGTAACCAATCACCGAGCGCTATCTACCATTGCTTATTTATGCCTCATTACCTGGCGTTCTCTATTGTCCCTGCAGATCGCATATTCGTTTAAATAGGCAGGGAGATCTACCGGTCTGTTAACTTCGCGAGGCCAACAAACTCTGCTTTGCTGGCAGAAGTCACGAACAGACAATAAACCTTGATATTGTAATTTACCACAAAAACAGCCCGGATACAAGCTAAAAGGTCCAGACACGTGTTTCACCAGTATTCTGTGCATTTTTAACTACCAGTGCAGTTGTCGGCACGTATTTTCATCCTACTTCGGCAGAGGTATCATCGGCGGCGCACCGTGCATATGCTTAGGCCCACTCTTGTGCTTTATGAGGCCTGTGGTCATATAGACTTT